AAAATAAAAAAAAAAAAAAAAAAAAAAGAGAAATTATTAATTTGTTTCTTTTAAATTATATGAATAACAAAAATTAAGGATGTAAAAAAATTGAAAGTTTTGAAATATTTAATTCTATGTATGCTACATTAACATATTTTTAAATTTGTTTCTAAAAAATAATATAATAATTTGTATAAATAAAAAAAATTATATTTTTTTTTTTATATATTTTATAAAAAAACAAAATTACAGTCATATGCATGTGCATAATATAAAAATGCTCATGCAAAATTAATCTTTCATATAAATAAAAAACCAAATAAAGTATGACAAAAATAAAAAATATAAAATAAATGTAAATATGAAATAAATAAAATTATGAAAGTAAAAATATTTAAAAACAATCAATTGTTTATATAAATATATATAAGTGTTTATAAAAGAATAATTATAAATATAAATAAGAGATAACTTTTTTTTTTTTTTCAAATTTTAATTTTAATGAAATTTTTATGATTATAAAATAAAAAATATAGAAATTTAAAAATTAAATGAATTATATATAAAATTTCCTAAGAAGTTATAGATTTACATAATTGTATATATTATTGTATTTTATTTTTTGTAAGAAAATTTCTGAAATATAATTTTACGTAAATATATTTAATATATATATTTATATATATATATATATATATTTATTATTTTTACTGAAATTATAAAAAAAAATAAAAAAAGGAATGTTTATATTTTATAACACAACTTATATGCATTGTAAGAGTAAATCAATGAAGGCTTTGAAAAGTGAAAATAAATATGGTTATAAATATATTTATTATGCGAAAGATAATAACGTAATAAATAAAGAACATAATATTCCATTTAGGCATTTTATCGATGACATATAATAGAATTTAAATTCCTTTTTAAAATTGAAAGATTAATATATATATATATATATTTATATATATATTATATAAATTTCGTAAAGTATTATATATTTTTTATATATTTATTTGTATAAGCGTTCTTTATTAATTTACAATCTATATTTTTTTTTCAAAAAAAATTAAATTTTAAAAATTTATATACATGATACAATTTAATAATTTTTTTCTTAATTTATGTGAGTAGATTGAAGATGAATATAGTACCTATATATATATATCATTATGAAATATAATTTTTATTTTATATATTTTATGTCGATTACTTTCTTTTTATTAGTTTTATTTTTACTATTTATTTAGCAATATAAAATAGTTTTATATTTCTATATATATATATATCACAATTTTTAATAAGTATAGCTGATTTTATTATCTTTTTTTTTTTTAATTTTTAATATGCTTATGTATAAAATAAAAAAAAGATTTTATAATTTATCTAATTATGATATGTATATAAACACAGAGCAAATAATGACATATATAAAAAATAAAAAAACAGTTTTTTTTGAATATTAGAGTGAAGAAATATCTTAATATATTTATTATAATATAAAATGTATTTTTTTTATATACAATTGGAAACATTAATATAAATTGTTTGAAGTGTTTTTATAAGGTAATGAATAAAATTATATATAAAAATCATCAAATATTTTTGATAATTTAGGAAAAATTGTGCTGATTTGACAAGTATTAGATAAAAATTATATATATCAAATATAACATCATTTTTGCTATAACAGAATGATATAAGGAAATGTTTTAATTATAAAAAAGTAAAGAAGTAACAAGAAGTAATTAAATTACATATATATATATATATATTTAAAATAAAAAAAAAAAATAACCGCATATTTTATAATTCAAAACTATGATTTTTCCACGTAAAACGAGTTAATCTTGAATACATTTAACATAATTTAAAAGGAATGAACGAACAATTTTTTTATGTATTTTTAGGATATTACAAAATATATACTTTTCATTTTTTGTGTAATTAGGAACTTTTTAATTTAGTTATGTTTTAAAAAGATAATTTTAATTTTGTATATATTATTATTATCATTATAATTTATTCTTTATTTTAATAATATGATATTGACAAACATAAATATATATTTGTATATATGTGTAAATGAATTTAAATATATCAAAACATTGTTTTATTATTTTATATTATTTAAAAATAGTTATTTTTTTCTTTAAAATTATTTCAAATTTATTTCATAATTATTGTCTATATATTTTTTTTTTCAAAAATTCATGAGAAATTATAAAAATATTATATATATATATATATATATATATATAAATGAAAATCATAATGATATTATATGTTATATTACAAATTAAACTACAATATTTTATTAAATTTATAAAGTATATATAATTTTTCTAAGTAATAATTTTTTTTGGCATATTAAGAATGCTTTCAATATACATTGAAATGATAATATAATATATAGTAATTAAAATACATATAACAAATTATATATTTAATTTTTTATATGCATGTATAGATAGTATATATATAATTAGTGAATATGTAACTATGAAAAATATTAAAACGTGTATCTTTTCAAAAAAAAATTTTTTTATATAAGAATTATATATATTGCAAAATATTTTTGTATGAACCACATATTATATGAAAGTTTTCTCTTTTATACATATGTATATCATTAATATTATGTAAAAATTAAAAAAATGAAATATGTAAGTATCTTATAAATTATATATTTATATTAGCTTTATATATTAATAATTATTGTTTCATAAATTTAATTTTAATATTTTTCTTGAACAAATTTTATGACAAGTAATAGAATATTTTATAAAACAAAAATTAAAAGTATAAGTAAATTATAATGTTTAAATAAAAAAAAAAAAAAAAAAAAAAAAAAAATTTAAATTGTGACGGTTAAATATATGGAATTTATAGAAGTTATAATTTATATATGATTTTATTGACTTTTTTTATTTTTAAGTATATTTATTTTATGTATTTTTTTTAATATTTTTTGTTGTAAATATTAATAATTATGTTGTGTTAATAAGAAAATATTATATATTGTATATACGTATATATATATATATATATACATACATATATATATATATAAAATTATAGAGACAATATAAAAAATTAAGAATACATAGAAGGATATATAGTGTGAATTCAAAAAAAAGAAGAAATATATATTACAGATAAGTTAATATACATAGAGAAAATAAAATCAAAAAAGACTTGAAAAAAAAAAAAAAATAAAATAAAATAATATTAAAATGTCATATATAAATATTCCAAGGGATCGAAATGATCCCAATTATAGATATAAAATGCCCAAATTAATTTCGAAGATTGAAGGTAGGGGGAATGGAATAAGAACGAACATTGCGAATATGGGGGAAATAGCTAGATCTTTAAAACGTCCACCTATGTATCCAACTAAATTTTTTGGTTGTGAATTAGGAACTATGGTGAAATTTGAAGAAAATGAAGAAAAAGCTATTGTTAATGGGGCACATAAAGAAAAGGATTTGGTTAATATTTTAGATAAATTTATTGAGATGTATGTTCTTTGTCCTCATTGTCTATTACCAGAAACAGATATTATTGTTAAAAAAGGTTTTTTAATTTGCAAATGTAATGCATGTGGAAATATAGGAGAACTAAATAATTCTCATAAAATTGCTACTTATATGATAAAAAATCCTCCTTTAATTAGCACTGTAGGAAATAAAAAAAAGAAAATTAAAGAAAAGAAAGTAGAAAAGAATGGAAAAAATAAAAATGAAAAAATTGAAAAAAATGAAGAAAATAAAAATGGGATAAATTCAGGAGCAGATATTGAAGGATCTGAAGAGATAGACACAGATAAAAGTAATCAGAATACTAAAAAGGAGAAGAAAAATAAGAAAAAAGATAAAAAAAAGAAAGCAGAAGATAACTTCGTTTTAGAAAAAGAAGCATTAAATTTTGAAAGTCCTGAAATAAAAGAAGTTATAGATAGGTTAAGAAGTTTATTTGAAGCTAACCCTAAAATTAGTGATAATACATTTTCGGAAGAACTAAGGGTTTTACAAGTATCTCAATGTTTTGATTCCAAATGTAGAATTTTTATTTGCTTATGTTCATTATTTGATGATAAAATAACTAAAGAATTGTTAGAAAAAAATATAAGATATTTAAAAAAAATTAACGATACTTCTGTAACAATTAAAGATATTTTTCTTGCCTTAGAATATTATGTAAATAAAATAGCTGTCAACTCTATTCATATTTATCCATATATATTACAAGTTTTATACAACAATGATATATTTGAAAGTAAAGATATTATTAAAAGATACGATGAAAATGATAATGAAATACAAGATCAAGTCAATGAAGATGATTATGTAAATAAATTTTATATTGAATGTTATAGCAAATGTAAAAATATGGCTAAACCTTTTGTTAGTTGGTTAAAAGAAAATGATTCAGATACTGAGTCAGAAGAAGAAAATGTAAACAACAACGTTGTTAAAAATAATATTATAAATTATAAAGTAAAATCATTAGGTAATAATGAAGGAAAAAGTAATAAGGAAAATAATAATTGTTCTAATGAAAATGACAAGGTTTTTGAAGATTCTAAAAGTGAAAAATGTGATGATGAAATATTTTTAGATGCAAAAGATGGTATAAATTATACAGGGGATGAAGAAGAAATTGACATTGATGCCATTTAAGTATATATATATATATATATATATATATATATATATATATATTTTCTATTATTTATTTATTTTTTTTTTTTGAGATTTATATGTATTTTTTTTTTTTTTCTTTAATTATATTTAATTGTTATTGAATATGTTTTTTTTTAACAAAAAAAAAAAAAACTTATAAAGATGAACATTAATATTTTATGCTTAAAATATATTTACATAGAATATATGTAATATATAAAAAAAAGATAAAAAAAAAAAAAAATTAAAAATATTGGAGATATTAGTATAAAAGAAGTTTAAGTATATAAGTTATTAAAAATGTAATTCAGGTATTATTTTTGAGTCATTATGTTTTATATATTTTTTAACAATTATAAAAAATATATAATTTTCCTTTTTCTATTTTTTTTTTTTTACAACTTGAGAAAAATAATCTCACCTCAAAATAAATATAATCGTTGTAAAAAAAATAAAATAAGATATATCATTTATAAAAAAAAATCAGTAAAATTTTATTTCTTTATTCGAAATAGTATTTCCGTTATTTATTACTAATTTTTATAAAGATAAAAGTTATTTTTAAAGATCTATATATTTTGTTTTTTAATATGAAAAATGATTGGTTCATAAGAGAAAATATTTCACTTTTTTTTTTTTTTTTTATTAAGATGAAAAAATTATATATTATTTTCAATACAATGTATTTATTTGATGATTTTTAAAAAAAATAATTATTAAAAGGAAAGTAAAAGATAAAGTCTTATAAGAAAAATATAAAAAAGCGCCTTTTAAGAAAAAAAAAAAAAAAGGGTTTTATTAATTATCAATAAAAATAAGAGATTAACATAAAATATTTTTTTCCATGAAAAATAAACAACATCTAATTTATTTTATAGGGAACTTAATTCTTTTACTTGTATTTTTTTATTTTACAATAAAAATAAACAAATTTTTTAAAATAAAAAAAAAAAAAAAAAATAAAACTTAATTGTAAAAAGAATTATTTTCAAAAACATTTATGATATTGTATAAGTTAAAAACTTTAATTATTTTTTTTATAAACTTTTTTTTGTAAGGACAAAAATTTAGCTGAATTTTAATATGAATTATTATAAAAATAATACTTGAATTTTATAAGTGTAAAAATATTGCAAAATAAAAAAAAAAAAAAAAAAAAAAAAAAAGATAAATTATACGTATAAAAAAAATATTTTTTATGTGGTAAAAAACATGAATGATTATTTACATAATTTAAACATATAAAAAAATTTAAACAATAATAGATTAATTTAATAAAAAATATACGTATATGGTGAATCTTCATTTCCTTTTTAATTCAAAAGGTAGATGAATTATTATGAAAGGGGTAATAAAAATAAAAGCAAAAAAAAAGCACCCAAAACTTAAAGAAGATTTAAATGAAAAAGAATTAGATGAATTTAAAGGAATTAATAAAGAAAATAAGAAAGAATTGAGCAATTTTAAAATAAAAGATGAAGAAAATTTAAATACTTTTAGAATAAAAGATCAAAATGAAAAAGGGATAAATAATTTTAAAATTGATGATAATAAAAATGAAAAAGAATTAAGAGATTTTAAAATAAAGATTGATAAAAATGAAAAAAGATTAAATGAATTTAAAATGAATATAAAAGAACAGGATGATATAAAGTTATACGAGAATAACAGGAACAGTTGTTATAATAATAATCTTGATAAAAATATAAATTATGATAAAATAAATAATATCAATTCAAAATGTAAAATTGAACAGGAAGTAATTAATGAAGAAAAATATAATTTAAGTAATATTAATGATAGAACCTGTTTAGGACTTGTTGTTAAAAGTAAAGAACATGAAAAGAAAATATATGAAAATTCTAAAAATGTAAGTAATTTAAATGAGAAATGGAAGTTATTACCTGCCTACTTAAAAGTAAAAGGCTTAGTTAAACAACATATTGAGTCATATAATTATTTTATAAAAAGAGAAATAAAAACGATAATGAATGCAACTACAAATAAAATTATAAAATCTGATATTGATGAGCATTTTTATGTTGAATTTTTGGATATAAATGTTGGAACCCCATCAATAGAAGAAAATATGATTGAAACTAATTTAACTCCTCAAATTTGCAGACAAAGGGATTTAACATACTCAGCTCCCATATATGTAGATGTAGAATATGTTAAAGGGAATAGTATAATTACGAAAAATAATGTAGAAATAGGAAGATTACCAGTTATGTTAAGAAGTGATATATGTGTATTAAATAATAAAAATGAAGAAGAATTGATGAAACTAGGTGAGTGCCCATATGATCCAGGTGGATATTTTATAGTTAAAGGAACTGAAAGAGTTTTATTGATGCAAGAACAATTATCAAAAAATAGGATTATTGTAGAAATGGATATAAAACACAATATATGTGCAACTATTACATCTACGACGGCAGAATCAAAAAGTAGATGCGCTATTGTTTATAAAAATAACAAGTTATATTTAAAACATAATTCATTTATTGATGACATTGGTGTTTGTATTATATTAAGAGCTATGGGTTATGAAAGTGACCAAGAAATTTTTCAAATGGTAGGATCCCAAGGAAAATATTTAAATGGGATCTTATTATCATTATATGAATTATACACTGAAAATATTAAAACTAATTTAGATGCATTATTATATATAGGAAAGAAGATTAGACCAAGGTTATTAGCAAAAGGATTTTTTAGTTCAATGAAAGAAAAGCAAGTTAAAAATGAGAAAGACATAATTGAAGAAGGATTAGATTTCTTAAGTAGAGTTTTGTTATCCCATATTCAACAGAAGAGTAAATATGATTTTCGTAATAAAGCAAGATGTATATGCTTAATGATTAGAAGAGTTTTAGATAGTGCTAATAATAAAAATGAAATAGATGACAAAGATTATTATGGGAATAAAAGATTAGAATTAGCAGGTCAATTAATATCTCTATTATTTGAAGATTTATATAAAAGATTTTATTTTACTTTAAAAAAGCAAATAGATCAAACATTAAGTAAATATATGCAAAGCAACTATAATTCCAAATTAAAGAATAATGGAAACATTAATGATAACTATCCAGATGTTTTTAGAAATTTACCTAAAGACATAATAACAAGAGGAATGCAAACAGCTATATCTACAGGAAATTGGAATATTAAAAGATTTAAAATGGAAAAAAGTGGAGTTTCTCAAGTTTTATCTCGTTTATCTTTTATTGCTTGTATTGGAATGATGACGAGATTGAATTCTCAATTTGAAAAAGGTAGAAAAGTTAGTGGACCTAGAGCTTTACAACCTTCTCAGTGGGGAGTTTTATGCCCCTGTGATACCCCAGAAGGTGAATCTTGTGGTTTAGTTAAAAATTTAGCATTGATGACACATGTTACAAATGATAATGAAAATAACGAGAACTTAATTGAAATATTATATACACTAGGTGTAGAAGATAGTGATAGTTTAACAGGAGAAGAAATTTATAAAGAGGGAGTATTTTTTGTTATTTTAAATGGTATATTTTTAGGAGTTCATAAAAGACCTAAAAAATTTATGAAAAGAATAAGATATTTAAGAAGATATGGAAAAATAGGACAATTTGTTTCTATTTATGATAACTTTTTACATAATGCTATATATATATCAACAGATGGAGGGAGACTTTGTAGGCCTTTAATTATTGTAGAAAATGGAAAATCAAAATTGTTACCAGAACACATTAAATCTTTAGAAAATGGCAAAATTAATTTTTTTGATTTATTAAAAAGTTCAGTTATTGAATGGATTGATGTTAATGAACAGAATAATCTTTTAATAGCTCTAAATGAATCAGATATTTCTTCGAGTACTACTCATTTAGAAATAGATCCATTAACTATTTTAGGAGTTGTAGCTGGATTAATTCCTTACCCTAATCATAACCAAAGTCCAAGAAACACTTATCAGTGTGCTATGGGAAAACAAGCCATTGGTGCTATTGGTTATAATCAGTTTGTTAGATGTGATACATTATTATATTTATTAGTTTATCCACAAAAACCATTAGTTAAATCAAAAACAATTGAGTTTATTAATTTTGAAAAATTACCAGCAGGCCAAAATGCAATAGTTGCTGTTATGAGTTTTTGTGGGTATGATATTGAAGATGCAATAGTTATGAATAAGTCATCTATTGATAGAGGATTTGGAAGATGTATGTCTTTAAGAAAACATTCTGTAGAATTAAAAAAATATTTTAATGGATCTAGTGATATTGTTTTACCATCTCCTTTAGTAATTAATAAGTTGCAACAACAAAAACTAGTACAGCAACAACAATTAGAAAATAATAATAATAATGTCCCCTCTAAAATAGAAAATATAAAAGAGAACAGTGGAAAAACTATATCAAATATAAATAAGGATGATTTAAAAAATAGCACAAATAAAGATATTAAAAAATATCATTCCTTAGATATGGATGGAGTTGCTTCTATTGGATATTTATTAAAAGAAGGGCAAGTATATGTTAATAAATTTTCTCCTAAAAATATAAAAGATCATGTTAAAGATATAGGAAAGATAGATATAAATGATTTTAAGTTAAACGAAACTAAATATAAAAGTGTTTATCCATCTTATATAGATAAAATTATTTTTACAGAAAATTCAGAGGGCTTAAAAATATACAAAATAATTATGCGTCAAACAAGACTACCTGAATTAGGTGATAAATTTAGTTCAAGACATGGACAAAAAGGAGTTGTTGGTTTATTAGTAAATCAAGAAGATATGCCATTTACTGAATCAGGAATATGTCCAGATTTAATTATGAATCCTCATGGTTTTCCTTCAAGAATGACAGTAGGAAAACTTCTTGAACTTGTATCTTCAAAATCAGCAGTGATGGATGGAGAATTTAAATATGGTTCTATTTTTAGTGGAACCCCATTTGAAGAAGTAGCGAAAATTTTATTTAAATATGGTTTTAACTGTTCAAGTAAAGAACTTTTATATTCAGGATTGACAGGAGAACCTTTAGAAACCTATATTTTTATGGGACCAATATACTATCAAAAGTTAAAACATATGGTTCAAGATAAAATTCATGCAAGAGCTAGAGGCCCAAGGCAATTGCTAACAAGACAACCAACTGAAGGGAGATCAAAAGAAGGTGGATTAAGATTAGGAGAAATGGAAAGAGATTGTTTAATAGCTTATGGGGTTAGTAATTTACTGTTAGAAAGATTAATGCTAAGTAGTGATGTGTGCGATGTATATATTTGTGAAGACTGTGGTATGATGGGTTATGATTTATATTGCACATTTTGTAAGAAATGTGACAAAAACGTTGTTGTTAAAATGCCCTATGCTTGCAAATTACTTTTTCAAGAACTTCAAACAATGAATGTTTTTCCAAGAATTATAGTGAAAGAAGCGTAATTTTTTTTTTTTTTTTTTTATTTTTCCCTTTTTTTTTTTTTTGTATATTTGTGCAAAAGAAAAAAAAAAAAAAAAAAAAAAAAAGAAGTAAAATAATTTATTAAACATCTTAGAAATTAAAATCAAAATGAATGATTATAAAAAAGAACATATTTTTAATTAGAATATATTATTTCTTATATTTTAAATTTTTATTTTACTTGCTCATCTTTAAATTTTTTTTTTTTTTTTTTTTTTTTTTTTTTTTTTTTAATTGATTATAAATCTTGTTTTAATACCATTTAAATATACATGTGTATGTAACATACGTTTTTAATATTTTTTTAAAATATTTGTAAACTCAAATTACATTGCTATTTTTGTCTTTTTTTTAATTTTTCTACTAATATATAACTTTAGTTATAAAATAAAATGAAAATAGATTAAATCCTGTTAATGAATGTTATATATTCACTATTTCTAATAATATAATTATCATATTAATTTCATACCTTTTTTTTTTTTTTTTTATATTCATACTTATTTTAATTAGAAATTATGGGATATTAAAAAGTAGGTTAATTAAAAAAATATCTATGGGTGCAAAAAGTATCATCTATATAATTTCGACATTTCTTTTTGTTTAGCTTTAGAATAATATTGATAAAATATATATTTTTATTATCGTACTATTTTAATTTTTTTTTTTTATCAGAAATTTATGAGTATCGTTCGATGAAAAGATATGATATATTTTTTTTTTAAAATAAAGATATTTTAATGTTTTATACCTTTTAATAATATTATCAAAAAAAAAAAAAAAAAAAAAAATTGATGAATATTTTAGATTTCTTAATGAATATAAATTTTTACGGGAAATGATTATATATTTAATATTATTTATATTTATATACTCATCATATATGAGTGAAAATAAGGATATACATGTAGAATCGAATAATGAATTAAAATATGTTGATAAGTATAATGAAAAGAAATATGAAGATAACAAAATTAAAAGAATAGAAGAAAATAATCACATTGATATTTATTCTGGAGATAAATATATAGGTTTTGAATTAGACAATACTAATAATGAAAAATATAAATCAGTATTTAATCTTAAACTATTTTTAGCTTTTATCTGTAACATTTTTTGCATTATAGTTTTACTATTACTTATTCCTAAAATTTTAAAATTAGTTAAGAAAACCACACAAACAGATATAAGAGAAAATTATATTATTGTTTAAATTTTTGATTTGTTGTAATAAAAATAAAGGTTGCAAATATTTGAACAACTTCTTGTATTATTAAGAAAACTCAAAAAAAAATATCACAAAAAACAACCAATAATATATAATCAAGTTATATTTTATAAATATTATCGAATACATTAAAAGTAATGCATAACTTTATATAAACATAATATAGATATAAAAAGGAGAAAATTTATAATAATAGAAGTAAATCATAATGGACTAATTATAGTAATCATAGATATAATTAAAATTGTAATTTTAAAAAGTTTTTATTATATAATTATTAAGTATCATTTTAATTGTAATTCTAAAATTAAAAAAAGGAATTAAATATTATTCTTTGATTTTATTTTTTTTTTTAAAAAAAATGAAATTTCAAAGCTTTACCTTTTATTCTTTAATAAATTTATTTTAATCGAGACATTTAAACTTTCTGTTGTCATCAGATTAAATTTATTAAATGAAATTTTTTTTGTGGGTTTTTTCATTTTGTTTCAAGATAATTTCTTTTTTATAAGATTATGTCAACTGTAACCAAATAATTTAAATAAATATTTGTATATTAAAAAAATAAAAAGTATATTACTTCTATATTTTGATCATATGTATAAAATTTTGTAAAGAGGAATTATATTTTTTTATTATAAAACTGCAATTTTTTTTTAAAAATACAAATAACCTTATATTTTTATCTTTTTTTTTTTTTTTTTTTTTTTTTTTTTTTTTTAATTCCATGTACATATATTAAATTAATAATAAAAAAAAACAATACTTGTTCACAAAAAAATAATAATAGAATATTGAAAAAAATAGTTTTAATAATAACACACATTACACATTTATTTATTACTATTATAATATTAAGTGATTTTTTTTTTTTTTGTATATAACATATAATTAATATAATAGAAGCACGATTTATTAAAAATAAGGAAAAAATTAATATTCAAATTCAAGTATATAGGGTTAATTTTTATTAATTTAAAATACCAATTTATGTAATTCAAATGTAATAAAAAAAAAAAAATATTTAGAATATTCTCATAAAGAGAATGAATGTGGAAGATTTATAAAAAGTGAATAAAATTGATAATTCAAAAAATTAAAACAAAAACAAAATAATTTTTAAAGGTACAAATTATGTGGAATTACGTCTTCATCTACATCAATACCTAGATGGTAAATAACACCTTGTGTATCTTTTTCGGTTAAACTAGCTAAGCATTTAATTATTTCTATACATAAATTTTTTCTTTTAAGCCAAATATAATGCAAGTAACCATGTTTTTTTTTAATATTATCAATTTCTTCAATAGTTAATTTACAGTTTTTATTTGCTTCTTGGTAGTATATTATCTCTTCTTTAATTTCTTCTAGTGAATTTTTATATTTATCAATATTTTGAATTAATTCTATGTCTTGGATTAATTTTTTTTTTTTTTTTAATAAATTGTCATAATCATTTTTAACTATTTCTGTTTGTTTTTTTATTATTTCAATATCCTTTTTTAATTTGATAATTTCGTCTTTGTCTAAACTTTTAAATTCTTTTTGATTAATTAGATAAACTTTTGCCTTTCCGTATTCTTTGCATTGAAGTTTTTCTTCAACACTTAATTCATCCATTAGCTTTTGAACGGAATTTTTGCTAATAGCTCCGTGTAAATTATCATATACATTAATAGCAGAATAAGGTCTATTTGTTTGCTTCATGTATTTAAAAATTTTGTCTTTTGCCTCTGATTCACTTAATATCGTTTTTGTTTGTTTTATTTTATTTATATCTTCTATTTTATTTCCTTTTTTCCTTTTTTTTTCTTCCTCTATTTTTTCAATATTTTTTTTTTTTTTTTCTGAAAAATATGGAAGATTATTTAAAGAGTTATTTTTATTATCATTTGTAGATATATCTGAATTATCCATTTCATTTATTTTATTCATCAAATTTCCTTCTTTTTCATATATTTTCCTTCTTTTGTTAACATTTATTTTTTCTTCGTTAATGTCCTGTATAGGTATATTGTTGGGAATAATGCTCATATTACTTATATTTTCATTAGTTAATATATGCTTACTTGATTTTTCTATGCTTTTTTTTATTTCAACCTTTTTATTACTATCTTCTCCCTTATATTCACTTTTATTATCTTCTATTACATTATTAATATTCATGTTTTTTTCAGTATTTAAAAATGTTTCTTTTTCTAAACATTGGTCACTCTTTTTTTTGTACTCCTTTTTTTTCTTGGTATCATTTTTTTTTTTTAGCATTTCTTTATTATCTACAATTTGTTCTTTCATACTTCCTTTTTCATTTTCTATTTCATTATCTTTCTCTTCTTTTTTTTCTTGTTTATCTTTCTTTTCTTCTTCTTTTTCATCTTTCTTTTCTTTTTCTTTTTCTACTTCAATTATGTTTCCTTTTTCATTTTGATTTTCTCTTTCATTTTCTAATTGAATTTTATATTCTTTTTCTTTTTTTCTTTTTTTTTCTTTTTCTTTTCCTTTTCCTTTTTCTCTTTCTATTTCATTTTTATCTTCTAATTCAATTTTATTTTCTTTTTCCTCTTCATTTTCTTTTCCTCCTCTTTTTTCTTTTCCTTTTTCACTTTCATTTTCTTTTACTTTTTCACTTTCATTTTCTTTTCCTTTTTCACTTTCATTTTCTTTTCCTTTTTCTATTTCTATTTCATTATTTTTCTCTTTTACTTTTTCTATTTCTATTTCTATTTCACTATATTTTTCTTCTTTTTTTTCTATTTCATCTTTTTCTTTTCCTTTTTCTATTTCTATTTCTATTTCTATTTCTATTTCATTATCTTTTTCTTCTTTTTTTTTTTCATTTTCCTTTTTTTTTCCTTTTCCTCTTCTTTTTTCTTTTTCTTTTTCTTTTCCTTTTTCTATTTCTATTTGATTATCTTTCTCTTTTTCTTTTTCATCTTGCTTTTTTTTTCCTTTTCCTTTTTCTATTTCTATTTCTATTTGATTATCTTCCTCTTTTTCTTTTTCATCTTGCTTTTTTTTTCCTTTTCCTTTTTCTACTTCTGTTTGATTATCTTTCTCTTTTTCTTTTTCATCTTTCTTTTTTTTTCCTTTTCCTCCTCTTTTTTCTTTTTCTTTTCCTTTTTCTATTTCTACTTCATTATCTTTCTCTTTTTCTTTTTCTTTTACTTTATCCTTTTCTTTTCCTTTTTCATTTTCTTCTCCATTTTCTTTTTCTATTTCACTATATTTTTCTTCTTTTTTTTCTATTTCATCTTTTTCTTTTCCTTTTTCTATTTCTATTTCTATTTCACTATATTTTTCTTCTTTTTTTTCTATTTCATCTTTTTCTTTTCCTTTTTCTATTTCTATTTCTATTTCATTATCTTTTTCTTCTTTTTTTTTTTCATTTTCCTTTTTTTTTCCTTTTCCTCTTCTTTTTTCTTTTTTTTTTCCTTTTCCTTTTTCTATTTCTATTTCTATTTGATTATCTTCCTCTTTTTCTTTTTCATCTTGCTTTTTTTTTCCTTTTCCTTTTTCTACTTCTGTTTGATTATCTTTCTCTTTTTCTTTTTCATCTTGCTTTTTTTTTCCTTTTCCTTTTTCTACTTCTATTTCATTATCTTTCTCTTTTTCTTTTTCATCTTGCTTTTTTTTTCCTTTTCCTCCTCTTTTTTCTTTTTCTTTTCCTTTTTCTATTTCTATTTCATTATCTTTCTCTTTTTCTTTAACATTTTCCTTTTCTTTTCCTTTTTCACTTTCATTTCCTTTTCCATTTTCACTTTCTTTTTCTTCTCCTTTTTCACTTTCATTTTCTTTTCCTTTTTCACTTTCATTTTCTTTTCCTTTTTTGTTTTTTTTTCTTTTCTCTAATTTCATTTCATTTTTCTTTTCGTCTTTTTCTTTTTCATTTTCTATTTCAATATCTATGCTATTTTCTTTATTTATTTCATTTTTTTTTTTTTTATCAATTTTTTGATTATTTCCACATTTTGTTTGTTTTTTTTTTTTACTGCTATATATTATTTCAGATTCTACATTATTTACGTCTTCTATATTTTTATTAAGTATTTTTTTCTTCTTTTCATATATTGTGTAACTTATATATGTATTACCTTCTATCTTTTCATTGTTTTCTTTATTGTCAAATTTTTTTGAATTTTTTTGTTTTTTCTTTTCATTTTCTCCATGATTATTTGTTTCATTAATTTTTTTTGATTTTATATTATTATTTTTATTTTCATTTATTTTTATATTTTTTTCTTTCTTCAAATTTTCTTTTTTTAATTGTTTTTTTATTTCCATTCTGTTTTCACTTATATTAATTATATTCTCCATGTTAGCACTTTCATCAAAATCATTATTTTTAGATTTTTCCTTTTTTTCATTTTTTTCTCCATTTCTGACCTTGTTCTCTGTCTTCTTTTTTTCATTTATATTCATATTCATATTCATATATATCCTTTCTTTTATTTATAGAGAATAATAGTAATGTATCAATTTATAAGGAATATTTAATAAAACACATATAATAGAAAATAATATTTAATACGTTTCTTTTTAACATTTTAATTACAAAAAAATATATTTACAATGATACCCATAAAAATTAAAAAAAAACACATGAGCATAACATATATTTTAAATTATTTTTCAAAAGTAAAAGCAAATGTACTTACACATTTGTTCTTAATAAAATTATATTAATTATCAATTATATTTTATTTGGAAAATTTTTTATTAAAATTGATACAATAAAGTATAATTATAATTGAAACAGTAAAGTAAAATTATATACAAGTTCTTATATAAAAAGAATAAGTTATTATAATAATAGAAAAAAGGAAATAAATAATAAAATTTGTTTTTTTATATATTTACAAAAAAAGAAAAAAGTAAATAAAAAAAAAAACAACAAAAAAAAAAAAAAAAAATGAATGTAATTACATATTATGTTTATTTGATATTATATTCATTATACTTATACTCTACCATACTACCTTGATTTAAAATTAATTTAGAAAATGGTTTATTTAATAAATGCAAAAGGAATAGTAAAATACAAGCAGTAACTCCTTTATTACATGTCGATATAATTATTTTCTCATCATTTAATAGATCATATTTATCATATATATTCTTTATCTCTAATTCATTTTTAAATGTTACATATTTAAAATTTTCATCATGGTAATTTAAAAAATAGGAATATGGTATATTTATAGAAAAAGGAATATGATTATTAACCTTTTTATTTTCATTTAATTGTATTAATGAACTAAATGTTTTATTAGACCTTGTATCTACCAATATATAATTTTTCATTTGTTTATTTTTTTTTGATTCAATTAACCTTTTTATATCTAAATAATGATATATATTTTTCTTCCTATTATCTATTGCATCTCTATTATTTTTTAAATGATCTTCTATTATATTTTTTATTTTATTAATTTTAGCATTATCTTTTAGTTGTACATTATTCTTCTTTTCATATATTACTTCCTTTTTTTCGCACAACCATTTATTTAAACCACCGTTTAGAATCTTTAAATTCTTAAAACCAAATATTTTAAACATAAACCATACTCTAGGTGCATAAAAAATTTCATCTTTTTCATAAAAAATAATTGGTATATTTTCTAAGGAATTCCCTATAATCGTTTGATTTTTTATTAATAACTCTTTTAGATAATTAAAAAATTCTGATTCTTCTGGAAAAAAAAAAGAAAAATTAGGATTTTCATTAGATGTCACTCTTGAATCAAAAGGAATACTTCCTTTTATTTTTTCTATTTTATCATAATCACTATCCATTTCATTACTTTTTGGATACAAATTATAATAACTTGTATCAAAAAGTAGATACTCTTTTTTATTTTTTATAAGTGAATGCAACTCATCTGTTTCAATTAAACAATTATTTTTTTCCTTCATTGTATTATAATTTCTCAAGTTATTTATTTTATTAAAAATATATAAGCTTTTAAAGGAACTTCTGAACAATATATTACTATAATGAGAAAAAATTATGAAGTTACACGTTTTCATCCTTAAATAAATTCCAGCATATAAATTTAATTTTTTATAAATATAAACTTGAAAAAAAAAAAAAACATAATTTCTAAAACTGAAAGAAAAAGAGCATCTTATATTTTTGCTATATGTTAAAGATGATTTGCATATATTTATAATGTACTGTTCTTTTTTTAATTTTTTTTTTAAAAAATTTCAAAATATTTTAGAAAAAAATTGACATTTTTATTTTATATAAATATATATATATATTTTTTTTTTATGTGAAATATTATGATAAATTAAGAAAATGAGAAAAAAGGAAAATTGTTAGTTACATTTTTCTTAGTGTTTCTAATTTATTTGATTTATTAAAATATGATGATCTCTATAAAATTTTGAATACTTTGTTTTAAATAAAATATGTTAAAATAAAATAATTTTTCTGTAATTTAAATTTTATATATATTAATCAATAAAGTTCAATATATTTAGTAAAATTTCAACTTCATAGTTTTTTTTTTTTACACTAGAAATAATTAATATTTTAAAATTAATACAAGCTAAAAAATATGAATTTCGTTAATTCTCTATGCATATCTGATAGTGATAAATATGATGTATAATTAACTAATTTAATCATTATATATAAAGAAAATTCCATTAACACACATATATTTTTTCATGAATTTTTTTTCCCTTTAATTATTCAAACAAAATTTTTACAAATATTTCATTTATAATTTTAAAGATTGAAAAATTAAAAAATATAAAATACTGATTATTATTATAAGATTTGTATACAGGATCATAAAGTTATATTACATAAAGACTAATATTCAAATTTTATAAAGAGAAAATATCTAATATAAAAATTTAAAAAGAAATTTTGTAAATCTTGTTTTTTGAGAGTGAATTAATTTTGTAAAGTATGTTTTACTTTTGAATAATTTTTTATTTTTTTTTGTTTTTATATAAAAGTATCTCTAATTTCTTTAAAATATTAAAAAATTATAATTAATAATTTTTTACTAATTATGAAAATTTTATTCTTAATAATGAAAAACATTATTTTAAAAATTAATATTTTTCTTAAATTCTGTCTTTTTTTTTTTTTTTTTTTTTTTTTTTGAGAAAAAAAGTGCACATGTTATAGAATATAAAATTATAAGAATATATTTCTATAGAAGTATATTTTTTAATTAAAACTCTTTTAATCTTTTATAAATTAATTTTTTTTTTGTTATTCACTTATTTGATATAAAAAAATTTATTTTTATAACTTGCATTTTTGATGAATTAAAAAAAAAATTAAAATTATTAATAATTTTTTTTAAATAAATTGTAAAATTTTAATCTGTGTGCAACAGTTGTAAAGATTAAATAAATATATATATAATACAAATACAATTTATTTGGTGTTATTATTTTATTATACTTTTTTTTTTATTTTTAATTTTCTTTTTCTTTTTATATATAAGATAAATTGATTTTTAAATAGTTTTTAAAATTTGAGTCTTTCTCTTTTCGTTTTAATTTTTTTTTTTTAATTTTGAAGAAACTTATAAAAAATTTTATTAAAACAATCGTAAAAGTCAAGATTATAAAAAAATGAAAAAAAAATAAAATGAAATAAATTTATATAAAAAATTGAATAATATTTAACATAATTGCAAAAAGACATTTAAAATATATAGAAATAAAATTATAATATATATATATATAGACAGTTTTTTTTTTGTGTTATTTTCATGTATTTTAAGTTACGATAATATTTTATCTTTTTCTCGTAATAATTTTCAAAATAAATTCTTGATTTAATTTTTCCTTTTTCGAGTAAAAATAAAAAAAAAAACTTTAAATATATATATACGTATTTTTATTTTATATTATGGACAATATTTAAATTCTTTTTATCATATTATGTAAACAAAATGTTAAAAACAAATGGCATTCTTCTTAAAAAATGGTGTAATATTAAAAAAAAGAAGAAAAGAAACAAGAAAAAAAAAAAAATTAAAAAATTATTAAAACGGAAATATTTAAACGGAGAAAATTTTATTAATAAATTATGTGCAATAAATAAAATGACATTAACACATAATGTAAGCAGATTTGTAAATTATGATTTAAAAGAAAACGCCAAAGGAAACAGTAATATACTTACATCTGTAAGAAAAAAAATGAGAAATTATAGTAATACTAATAAGAGACTAAATAATAATGATATAAATATAAATTTATCTCACAATGGGAAAGAAAATATGAAATTAAAAATAATGTTAAAAAGAAAGCTAAATTTAAATAATACATTAAATAAAGATTATAATGAAAAGAATTTTTTTAGTGATTCTACGTCAGCATCATCGAAAGGTTTTTATGAATTTGCAAATGAAAATAATAGTCATATTTTTAGAAGGAGAAAAAAGGATATAAATGAAAAACAAGAAAATTTTGAATACATTAATAAAATAAATTCCATTAGAAGTGTTGAACTTTATTCCTTATTTACTTTCTTCTGCACAAAGTTAAAAGTAAAAGAAAAAAGTGATTCTGAAAACAAAAATATTTTAAATAAATTACAATTAAGTAAAAATGCTTTAAGCAAACAGAAACATAATCAAAAATTTTCTAAGCAAACAAATAACAAAAATATTCCTAAAAATAAAAAAGAAACAAAAAATGATATAAAATGCCAACCAAATAAAGATCCTTCAAACAAAAATGTAAAAAATATTAATAATATTAGTGAAATAAATAATAACAATAATGATAATATAGAAAAGGAAAATGATATACATCTTATGAATAACGATCAAAATATAATATTAAACACCCCTTTAGAAAAAGAAGAAAAAAATTTTAATTTTGATGAACAATATATTCTTAATTCTAATCAATATTTAGGTGAAATAGAAAAAGATGAATATAATAGCGAAGGAGAAAAAAAGGAAAAAGTATATTTTACTGACAGATGTATTTTGAATAAAAATACAAAAGGAAATTCCATAATGAATAAATTCAATACAAGTTTGAATAATAATAAAAATATTGAAAACATGAATAACAATGAAAAAATGAGCAACAAACTATCTAGTAACAATAATGAAATGAATACTTATAACAAGTCTAATGAGGGAAAACGAATAGCTAATTTAAGAGAAATTATTGATTTAGATGATGAAAATATACCTAAAAAAGAAATGGTGGCATATATGAAAGCAGATAATCAGATGGGTTCTTCTGCACAAAATAATGAAATTATTAACCTACCAAAAGATACTCAAATGAATTATAAGATACAAGATATGCAAATGAGTTATCCATTGCAAGATATGCAAATGAATTACCCGATGCAAAATATGCAAATGAATTATCCAATGCAAAATATGCAAATGAATTATCCAACTCATGATATTCAAATGAATTATCCAATGCAAGATTTGCAAATGAATTATCCAACTCAAGATATGCAAATGAAACACCCAATGCCAAATGCTCAAGTAGATTATTCTATGCATGATATTAAAATGGAAAATCAGTTAAATAATCCAATGAATAACTCAATGAAAAGCAATAATTTACCTTTTACATTTCCTATAATGAATGGCAATGATTATTCAATGAATAGTAACACTATGAATAATTATATAAAATTGCCTAATGATAATTGTAACAAAATGTTAGTAAATGGTGAATATGTTGATAAAAAATTTAATTTAAATAACAAAAATTTAATAACATATAACAATGAAAAAGTAAAATGTGATGAAGATTTTACATTAAATTATATCATTCAAAAATATGATGATGATGATAAATTTTTTTGTAATAATAATTTAACAAATGATAATAGAAATAATGAATTAAGAAAATATACTGAAGGAATGAATAAAATAGTAGAACAGATGTATTTTTATGATAACTTTCATGATGAATACAAGATATGTGATGAAAAAGTTAACTCTTCTAATGATTCCTATAATATTATTGATACATCTTTAAATTTAAATGTAATAGATGAAAATGTAAAAAATGAAAACGAAAACAAAGAAAATAAAAAAGTTATTTCAGCACTGGAATTAAGAATAAATGAACTTGAAAAAAATATAGAAGAATTAATGAATAAGAATAAGCAGAATATACAGGAACTAGAAAATGAAAAAAAAAAAAAAAAAAAAAGCGACATTTCTAATAATGAAAAAACAGAAAGTAATAATATAATAAAAAAATTAAAAAAAGAAATAGAACAGATAAAAAATGTAATACATAAAAAAAAAAAAAAAAATAATAATAATAATAAATCCTTTAAAATAGAAAAATACAAAGAAGAAAAAAAGGAAGATGATAAATTAGTAAAAGATCCTAATGAAGAAGAAAATAATAATTTTAATTTAGATAATATAATTAATCATGAAAACTTAAATAATTTAAAAAATGAAATATTAGATAATGTATATTATTATATATATGAATCTTATGACCAAAAAGATTATGAAATTCTTGAAAATCTAGCAAAAAAACATGAAACAATAGGAAAAAAGGTAAACTATAATGTCAATTTACCAAAATACAATTTTAATCACAAAAGGACATCAAGTGCGTGGTTTTTAAATCCAGCTTATGAAAATTATATGCTTGAAGAAAAAAAAAAAAAAGAAGATTCTTCAAAAATTGAAAAAGTGGAATTTTTATTTAATGAAGATAAAATTGATGAAAATTCTAAAAAAGCAGATGAAAATAATCTTGAGTATGTATCAGAAATAAGAGATAGTGATTTTTCATATGAAACTTTTATAAGTGAAAAAAAGAAAAAACTGAAAAGAAGTAAGATGGATTTAATAAAAATAAAAAATAGTATGATTCATAAAAATGGTAAGACTATATCATTAGAACAAAACATACTAATAAAAAAGAACAATAATGTAATTGAATCAGTGAGTAAAAAAGAAGAGAAAAAAGATAATTCTAAAAAGGAAGAAATCGATTTATATGAAAATGATATATTTGGAATTATAAATAATTATGTTCAAGATAAATCATTATTTGATTTATTTCATTCTACTAGTTATAATGAAAAAGTTGAAAATAAAAAAATAGAAGATAAAAAAGATGATATAAGTATATGCAAGGAAATTGAAAAAAAAAAAAAAGAAAAAGAATTATTAGACTTAGAAATAGAAAACAAAAAAAAAAAAAAAGAATTAGAAGAATTAGAATTACAACTAATTGAAAATAAAAAAAAAAAAATTGAGGCAAATATACTTATTCAAGAAATAGAAAAAGAGACGAAACTAAAAAAAGTTAAAACAGAAGAGTTTATAAATAAGGATGTAGTTTATACTTGTTATATAGATAAAGAAAATAATAATAATTTAATAAGGAAAGATGAAAATACTCAAGATTTAAAAAATGATGAAGATATAAAAGAAGATTACATTAAAAATGAAGAAGAAAAAGATATTAACAATTATGAAGAAAATAAGTGTATTACAAATAAAGATGAAAAAAATATTAAAGATGTGGAAGAAAATAAGTATATTACAAATGAAGAAGATAAAAATATTAAAGATGTGGAAGAAAAAGGTCATATTCAAAATAGAAAAGAAAAAGATAAAGATGATATGCTACCTCCTTTTCAACAAAAAGAAACAGATGATTATTTTAATGATTATTGCAAAATGAAAAAAAAAGAAAAAAAAAAAAATAATTGGGCACTATATGGTAGACCAATAGTAAAAAGAGAAAAAAAAAATATTATTTTGAAAAAGTTATCTACTTCAAAAAGTGATAATGGTTTTAATGATTATACCTTTTTTGCTGAAAAGTTCTTTGAAGTTATTACTGGTTATAGAAGTGAACCTGACAACTTATCTGATTATGATACAAAATCAAATATCAAAGAACCTATAACAGATGAAAGCAATAAAAAAGATCATTTATCACAATTAAATGGAAAAAAAATTGTCAATTTAAATAAAAAAATGAAACAAAACATTTATGAAAACGATATTTTTTGCAGATTGGGAAGGCCAAAATATGAAAAAAAAAAAAAAAATAATAATTACTATAAAAGAAAATCAACTATTCATAATTCTATATTAAAAAAAAATAGTACAAATAAAAAAAAAAAACTTTTAAAGAGGAGTGTCTCAAAAAACCATTTTTCTAAATTTGATATAGCCCACACAGGTATTGTAGAAAAAGCAAAATTAAAATTAAAAGAGAAATTAATAAGTGATGAGAAAAATTTAAATAATTCTGTTAATATTGAGAAGAATCAGAATGATAATATAGTAAACGATTTGATAGATAATTTTAAAAAATATAATATAATTAATAATGAAAACAATCAAAATTTTGATTTAAAATATAAAAGAAAACTAATATATGAAGCTTTAGATACTAATGATTTTACTAATGAAAGAGGCCTAAATGAAAATGATGAGATAAGAAAAGAAGATTTAGAGAAAAATTATATTGAAAATATTTCATTTCATGAACATTTGGATATTAACAATGACAATAATCAAAAGAAAAAAATAGGAGATACAAAAAAAAATATAAGTATGAAGAAACAAGATAAAATAGAAAGACTAGAAGAATTGCAAGAAAAAGAAGCAAGCAAATTAGAAGAAATGAGAAAAAGAGAAGAAGCAAAGAAATTAGAAGAAATGAGAAAACAAGAAGAAGCAAGAAAATTAGAAGAAATGAAAAAACGAGAAGAAGCAAAGAAATTAGAAGAAATAAGAAGACAAGAAGAAGCAAAGAAATTAGAAGAAATAATAAAACAAGAAGAAGCAAAGAAATTAGAAGAAATGAGAAGACAAGAAGAAGCAAAGAAATTAGAAGAAATGAGAAAACAAGAAGAAGCAAAGAAATTAGAAGAAATGAAAAAACGAGAAGAAGCAAAGAAATTAGAAGAAATGAAAAAACGAGAAGAAGCAAAGAAATTAGAAGAAATGAAAAAACAAGAAGAAGGATTAGTAGAAATAAATAAACAAGAGGAAAAAAACAGTTTAGAAAAAACGAAAAGACAAGAGAAAGATAAATTATTAGATGAAATGAGAGAAGGGGAAGAAGAAAAGTTAGAAAAAAAAAAAAAAGGTATTTTTGGTGATTTTTTTAAACAATTTTATAAAAAAGGTCCCTTATCAAATTATTTGTCTGATGATAAAGATAAATGTCAGTATTTAATGAATAATGATGAAAATAAACCAATTAAAGGAATGGACGCAATTTTTTCCAATGTTTTAGAAAAAAATTCAGAAAAAGACAGAAATGATGAAATGCCAAATTCTTTTAATTCGAAAAATAATTTAAATATTGGTAAAGAAATAGAAGATGAAAATGCCAAATTCAATGATAAGGAATTAGATGATAAAGATGATATAGATAATAAAAAAGAGAAAATGCAAAATTTAAACAACTTGGAATTAAATAATTACAACGTTTTTGATCAAATGGAAAATCAAAGGAAGAAAAATTTTAGGGAGAGAATGTCTAAAAATAAAAATGAACCCAATAGAATTTTAAAAAATAAAAATAACTCAAATAAAGTAGGAAATAAATCATTACTAAATAATTCCTATAGAAATAATTCTATAATAATAAGTAATTTTATTAATAAAAAAAAAGATGAAGATAAACTGAAAGAAGATAAATTAAAAGAAGAAAAAATGAAAGAAGCTAAATTAAAAGAAGAAAAAATGAAAGAAGATAAATTAAAAGAAGAAAAAATGAAAGAAGATAAATTAAAAGAAGAAAAATTGAAAGAAGAAAAAGCGAAAGAAGAGAAATTAAAAGAAGAAAAATTGAAAGAAGAAAAAGCGAAAGAAGAGAAATTAAAAGAAGAAAAAGCGAAAGAAGAGAAAAAAAAAAAATTATTAAAAATGAGAAATAAAAATTTAAAGTATAATAGTTTACACGAAGAACATTTAAAGGATCTCATAGAAAAAAATATGACTAATAATGAAAATTTTTTACCAGTAGATAATGAATTATATGATGAAGAAAAAGATGATATTTTTGAAACGGATACAGAAAGTTCTTTCTTAAAAATTGATGATAATGATTATATAAATTCAAATTCTTTAAAAACTCATATTTATGATGAATCAAATAATAAAAAAAGAAATGATGATAATAAAAAGTTGAGAGAATATTTCAAAAATAATTATAAATCATCTAATTTAGAAAACGGATCTTTATACCCAAGAAATCTCAAATATTCGGGTGAGTTAAGTCATAATAATAGTTATAATATTTTAAAAAACGCTGAAATTGAAGATGAAGTATTAAATGATGAATTGAAATTTTTTGATATTATTAATGAATCAAGAAACATTACGGATGAAATTTTAAATCATAGAAATATTAATATAAGCTATAGTGATAATTTTTCAAAAAATTATGAAGATATCTATTTTGATTTCGAAAAAAGTAAACTAGATTCTGAAGAAAACAATTCTTTTGATTTAAATAGTTACAATTTATATGAAGATCTATCTAACAATTCAATAGGAACAAAAAAAAATAGTAATAGCTTTAGTTCATTAAAAAGCTCTTATTATAAAGAAGGAGATCCATTCACTAATTATTCTTTTGAAAAAATGAATAGAGATGAGTATATTTACAAAAAAGATTCTCCAAATAATGAGAAGAAAAATGATGAAATTTTAACAAATATTATGAATAATTTACATGGTTTAAATAAAAAAATTAAATCCATAGAAATGAATTACAATTTTGAAAAACATGAAAAAGACAAATTAGACATAAATACAAACGATTTTGAAAATGATAAACAATATTCTTATTTTAATTATCAAAATAAAAATAAATATAGTGAAAATACAACAAATAAATATGAATATCTTCATTCTAGTTATTATTATAGATAATTAAACTTACATAAGGAATTATAAACAAAAATTGCAAAATGCTCATGTGATTTTTCATCTATATAAAAAATTACTTCTTAAAGCAAATGAGAGATGTTTTAAGAAAGAATTAGGATGTATTTATAAAATGTAAAAAAAAAAAAAAAAAAAAAAAAAATACGTATGTATATAGATGTAGAAAAAATAAATTACTTTAAAAAAAAAGTTTATAAGATTCATTTATTTTCCATAAAAGTCAAAAACAAATTAATATTTGGTTAGATATTTTTTTTTTTTTTTTGTTTTTTAATGTTGTTTATATATATTATCTATCATAATTTTTTAAGTTATTAAAAAACAAAAAAAAAGTTAAGCTTCTAATATATTTAATTAAGTGTATATATACAGCATTTCTATAGTAATATAATAGATGTGCTATTTTAATTTTATGTTTTTTAATTTATTTAATTTAAATATTTATTACAACTATTAATGATGTAGAACCAATTTATCTCTTTTTTTTTTTTTTTTTTTTTTTTATGAATTATAGGTAATAAATATTACCTTTGAAGGATTGTTTTTATATAAAAAATAACACATTAATAAGTTTCATACATTTTTTTTTTAATTAATATATTGAATATAAAGTAAAAATATATTCTTTGAGAAAATTTTGCACAAATTTTTTGTAGAATAAAATAGAAAAAAAATAAGGAAAAATTATATCAATAAAATTAAAAAAAATTTATTTTATAATTTATCAAAAAAAAAAAAAAAAAAATACGTGAAATAAAAAAAGGAAAAAAATGTTGATTCTTTTTTAAAAATAACATTATTTTTATGTATATACTTTTTAATTCTCTTCTTTTTTTTTTTTAAAGAATATTAGTTAAATTTTAAATATGGATTTTATGAAAGTTTAAATTACTATATATATATAAATCAAACGTGAAGAGAATTAACAGTGTAATGTTCGAACAAAAAAATACATTACAATTCTTGCTTATTTCAAAATCAAAAAAAAAAAAAAAAAAAAAAAAAAAAAAAAAAAAAATTTTTTTTTGAAAATTTAAGGGGTTAAATTAAACCCTTCCCCCTTAAAAATTTTTTAAAAAAAAAAAAAAAAAAAAATTGGATTTTTTTTTAGGGGAATTTATTTAAATTTAATTTTAAAAAAAAAGGGGAAGGGGAAAAAATTTTTTTTTTTTAAAAAAAAGGGTTTAAAAAACAAAACGGGTATAAAAACCCCAAAAATTTTAAAAATTTAAAATTTAAGGGGAA